AAGCTAAACCCCCCTCCCTTACCTTATTTAGGCCACACTGTGGCCCAAATAAGGTCACCCTTTATTTTTATTTCGAATAGGAGAGGAGAAAGAATGCTCCCCTTGGGGACTCCATCCTCCTGTTGGTGGGGGTCTGATAAGGAGGATCCGACACGAACCTGGAAGGAACGGTTCTTCAGGAAGTTGCCAATGAAGGCAGGGAGGTGACCGCGTATGCTGTGTGCGTGCAGGTCTCGCAGAATGCCATACTTCCAGGTTGTGTCGAAGGCTTTTTCTAGGTAAAAAAAGATGGCGATCATGTGGCCTCCTTCAGCAAACGTCTCACGTATAAAGGTCTCCAGGCTGACCAGGTGAACCAGAGTGGATCGAGTTTTCCTGAATCCGCACTGGAGACCGCTCAGCAAGCCCGTCGTTTCCAGAAACCACATGAGTCGCCTGTGGATCATTTTTTCCATGAGTTTGCAGAGACAGCTCATTATTGCTATTGGTCTGTAATTTGATTAGAGTGTGTGGTCCTTGTTTGGTTTGGGTACGTATTGGAATGACAGTGGCGAGACGCCAAGACTCCGGAAAGGAGCGCGACTGCCACATGTCGTTGTATAACTAGTAGTACATGTAATAGGAGTGTGAGTGTTTCTGAGGGTAAGTGTCTAATGATCTGGTTGTGGATGTCATTCGGTCCTGGGGCTGTATTGCCCAGGTCCGAGATGCACGATGTTAGTTCGTCTATTGTGAAGTCTGCGTTGTAGGTTTCAGTGTTGTTTGAGTGGAAGTTTAGGTGTTGTTCTCTGTTAGTTTTGATGTTTTGAAAAGTGGTGTTGTAGTTTGCTTGGGATGAGTTTTTGGCGAGCGAGAGATGTAGCTATTGTGTTTGCTATGTCTACTTGTGTTTCAGCTGTGGTTCCATCCGGCCTCTGGATGTGCCGAATGGTGTCTGTGCGTCTACCTAAGATTTTTGAAGCAATTTTGAAAACTTGGTTGAGTGGCGTCTGGCTGTTGATTTTGGAGATGTATTTTTTGAATGATTGTCTTTTGCTCTCCCTGAGGCATCTACTGTGCCACAGCTCGAGCCTTTAAATAATTGATCTTGTTTTCTGTGGTGGTGTTGTTGAAGGCTTTTCGATACGCTGCCTTCTTTTTCTTTACTGCATCCTCACATTCCCAAGAGAACCAGATTTTGTTCCTCCGGGGTTTTGTTTTTGTTTTTGGTATGTGTTTTTGGCATATTTCTAAAAGCTTTTCGTGGAATTTATTTTAGTTGTGGTCGAAAGTGGGGTTCAGAATCTGGGAACATTGATTGGCAAACCCGTTCCAGTCTGCTTTTTTGAAGTTCAAGCGTTCTGGGATCGGGTCGTTTTGGAGGCTATTGTTTTTGAGAAGAATTGGGAAATGGTATGTACGGTCATCCAGCACATAAGAAGGAGAGATAAGGACCATAGAAGTTTGATAGGAAAGAAGAAGCAAACCACACCAGAGCACCCGCCAACCACCCTAAGAGAGAGAGAGAGAGAAGAGAAAGAGATACAGACAGACAGTACGGATTCGAACCCGGGACCTATTGAACGAGAGGCAAACACCATAACCTCTAGACCAAAAGAGCCCCCCCCCCCCCCCAACAGTGCCAAGACACATCATAGAGTTGTTTTTGGAGTCATTTCAGTCACACAAATACAAACCATTAAGACTAAAATACTGAAGTTGTTGCTCAGAAGGGGTGTTGAGTACAGAAACAAAATAAGAGTCTGGACCTGAGACAGAGGACACAAACATATATTATATATACATTCGAACTTGCCGTGACGGCCACCTGTACAAACGGCCACTTTCCATTTCCCCTCTTGCGTTTTTTCTATTTTAATTTAACTGTAAAACGGGCACCTGTCCAACATGGCCGTGGCCACCTTATTTTATTATTCAACCCACTGTCAAAGTTACCTGCCTCAGGCAGCCAGGCGTGGTCACTCATTGCCTGAAACTTTTTCATCAATTTTGAATCGGCCCCGCAAGCTGTGGGCGGGCGTCATAATCCATTCACCTGTCGTTATTGTTCATCCCTCCAGTGAATGTTTACCCAAGTTGACCAATGGGTAGGCCTAACATTAAATTTTCAACTGCTGGTGAGGGAAGCGTGATCCGTTTAATCTATAAACCACGCTCACAACTCAAGAACAAATCATGCGTGAGGTAACTGGTCACTGTTTTGTTTACCTAATCTGTAACAAAGTAACAATGGACGTTGACGTGAACTTGCGACAGAAGCGTCCCTCGTTCTACGAGTGGTGGCGACCCATGTGTTTGTTTTACCATGGCACTCGGTCTTCATCGTCTTACATAATATTTCGTTTATTTTACCCCCGCAAAAAATCAGAAACGAAAAGAAAGCTAACTGAAAACCAAACTAACAAAACGACAACAACAAAAAACCCTTCTTACACCCCCCCCTCCTTTTCAAAAGAAAACAAAAACCCCTTTGAACCTTACAGCAGTTCAAAGCCTGAGATCAGCCCTGGTTTGAACCTCAGAAAAGAAGGAGTTGCGTTTTTCATTTTGATCAGTCCCTTGACAATGGGTGGCCGTTTTACACAGGTTTGACTATATATATTTTTTCTCTTTTCTTTTGGGGGGGGGGGTGTTCTCTACTTCAATTAAGGACCGTCACCTTCCAAAGTAGGAAAACCTTTTGATGCAATGAGGAATCACCATACTGATGACACAGCACCTTCAGTTGCATCATGATCAGAACATGAGCAGAATTTTATGAAAGAAAGAGAAGTAAGTTGCCATAGGCCTGGCTCATTAAGAGTGATTACAATGTATCTGGCCAAAATACAGAAAGGTGGAACTCGAATCAAATTTTTTTTGGGGGGAAAGAGTTGCTCACAACTGCATAAGGTCATACGAGTACGAGCGCGCGGGACACACCAAACATTTTCAGTTGGTAGGAAATATAGAATTTTACCCGGGTGGCGGCCAAAGCCTTCTTTCATTTTGGAACCACCAAGGGATCTTTCAAGAGCGTAACTTGCACACAGGACCTCTGAGATTTTTTGCCCATGTCCAAGAAAGCTAGGTGTAGATCTTTCCTACCAGAAGATCAGGGGTGTGGCTGAAAGAGAGCAGAATGGAGCCAAGGAGAAGCAGTAGAAAGGCTGCAGAAAGAGTCAGGAGCCCAGAGAGGAGGGGGCAAAGGAGGTGAGGGGGTGGGGGCAGAAAGTGAAGACGAAAGCCGAAGACAGAATATAGCTGGAGAGCAGGAGAGGAGATGAAAGGAGACAATTTTAGAGAAGAACATTTTTCGGTCGCTACTCGGATTCGAACCCGGGACCTTTGAATGAGAGGTGAACACCTTAATCTCAAGGCCACAAGAGACCATTCGAATCTAAATGCTCAAAATGTACTGGTCAGTCCCCAAGGCTTACCAGTACCATCCTGTCAAGGGAACCAGAGGCTAGCCTTTAAAATGACCAATACTGCTTCCAGTAGGAATCAATAGACAAAAACAAATTAGAAGTAGTGTGATAAAATTTCGAACATTTAGATTCGAGTTCCACATTATGTTTTGAACTGTAGAGAATAAAAAAGTCCCATGAAAAGCATCCTTCCTATCCTGTCAATAAAAATACACCCTCTTGAGCAGGAAGAGCACAAAACTAAACGACATTTTGCACATTTTTTTGTTAAGTGTGTTGTCATCACTTTATCAATTCCTAAGCAATTTTCCAGTCCCCCCCCCCCCCCCCCCCCCCACAGCGAGGAGGATTCTTGAAGCATATATAAATTAGTATCGGTAGGCTACTGCTATTATGTAGGCCTACCATATTGACAAGTTTTCTACATAACATACAAATATCCAGCATCGCTACAAGGCCATAAAAACATAGTATCGGTCAAAACAAGAAAAACAATTAAACACTACAAAGTCACTGTGAAATATTTCCAGAACAACAAACCCTTTATTCGAGAAGACAAACTATGGGCTACTAGTCAGTAGGTTGTTTGTTAATACACCACTGACCATCAGCTTTTAAGGAAAGGCTTGTATTGTACAGATCATAAACACTAGAGAAAAAAAAAGTATAACACATAAGCAAATATTCATAAAGTCCATTCATACATTCAACCAGGCTGGTGTGCAGCCACCTTCTCTTCTGTCGGTCCCTTCTTTATCAAGCACACAGAACCCTAATCCCACTAACTGCAGCAAAACCATAAGCACTTCCTGTCGCCAGTCTTTGCAGCCAGCATGTCCACTTTATTGACAGGACATCACTCGAAATGTAATCAATGCCGCCGCAGTAACGAAAATTTACAAAAATGGTGGATACTATCGTCAATGATGTCCATGATCATTGCCTCCCTTGTTTGTGGCCTTATCGTAGGCGATGGTGAGGACCATGGCGGCTGCAGCTAACCCGAAGCCCCGGAACATGTACTTCATGGCAGAGCGAGTCCACGAGACGTTGCCTCCAGTGGCTTCCATGTACTTCCAGGCTTCATTCCTAGCAAACAGAAAAATTCAAAATGTTAGTGACTTAATCTAAGGAGATTGTAATGTAGGATGCCAAATCAGAAAGCAAAAACTGCCAAAATACACTATTAATTACAGTCAAAAGGGTGTCTTAGTCTAAGACAATATATTCAAATTTTGAGCAATTTTGAGTAGGGGCCTACAGTAAGTGGATAGTTGGCCTAGATTGATATTAACTCTTTAAGCCTGTGGCACAAGTACAGCGGTAGTGAACTTTCACAACAACAATCCATAGCACCAGTTCACTGGCATGAGGAAAGAGCACTGACTTATCAGGCAGAAAGAGGCAGTTATTTTCGATCAACCAGAACGCTAGTTTCTATCAACATGCCATCATTATGGGATACAAACATTCTGCACCCTTTCACACATGTTTTGATCTCATTCTGTGCCGATACTGAGTTTTTTCATGATGTAGAGCTCTTTCCCTGAACACATAGGCCTACTCAGGAGGCAAAGATTTGAGTAAAATTAAGACCAGGAGCCCAGGGCTCAAATTCAAAGGATTAAGCGGAAAATGCACAGCAGTGGAAAGAAAGGTCAGATATATGAGGGTGTGCGTGATTCATGGTCATCCCTCCAGTGAATGTTTACCCAAGTTGACCAATGGGTAGGCCTAACATTAAATTTTCAACTGCTGGTGAGGGAAGCGTGATCCGTTTAATCTATAAACCACGCTCACAACTCAAGAACAAATCATGCGTGAGGTAACTGGTCACTGTTTTGTTTACCTAATCTGTAACAAAGTAACAATGGACGTTGACGTGAACTTGCGACAGAAGCGTCCCTCGTTCTACGAGTGGTGGCGACCCATGTGTTTGTTTTACCATGGCACTCGGTCTTCATCGTCTTACATAATATTTCGTTTATTTTACCCCCGCAAAAAATCAGAAACGAAA